TAACTAAGTACATTTACTTTGTTCAGTATCTAAGTACGTTTACTTTGTTCAGTATCTAAGTACGTTTACTTTGTTCAGTATCTAAGTACGTTTACTTTGTTCAGTATCTAAGTACGTTTACTTTGTTCAGTATCTAAGTACGTTTATTTTATTCAGTAATAAAGTATGTTTACTTTGGTCAGTTACTAATTATGTTTATTTTATTTTTACTTAGTGAAGTACTTCCTGTAGTTCTGTATAAAACCTGTAAAACATGAGGTCAGTTTGGAGGAACAGCTTGTTACAGCTGGGTCCTTCAGTCTTTACAGAACCTGGTCCTGGACTGGTCCGAGGACTTCCTGTCCCGTCTCAGTTGTCCTCAGGTTTCTGTCTCGAGGCAGTAAATCTTCTGATCTTTGACTCATTCATTAAAAACTAATAATTGGTAGAAAATATTTAGAAAATTCACAAACTTTGTTGTTGCTGTTTGAACTTTCATGACTTCATCTGGAGAAAAGGATCTGGTTCTTCTGAGGACTGAGGACCGTCACATGAGTGTTGTGGTCCACGTCTCTATTGTAGACAGAGCTCCAGCTTGTTCTTAGACCCATGTGGGGTCACGTATGCGCAGCAGGTCCTCACATGACTGGGTTTCCTCAGGGGTCCGCTGTAATCCTGCAGCCCCCCTCCCTCAGCTGAACCACGGTATCCCAGGAATTAGGCAGCAGACCAACATGTGACTCTGATCTGCACATATTTTCTCACAAGTCTCAAATACTTGTGGTCCTCGCAGACCTGCAGAGCACCTTAAGACCTGGACCTGAACCAGGAGGACCAGGACTGAGCTCCTTACCCACGACGGTCACCATCCAGACCAGCAGGTAGGTGAAGGCTGAGATCCAGACGGCGGACATGAGGAAGGTCACCATGAACCAGCGCTTCCAGAACCGCCTCCTGCAGTCCGGGACCGTCAGGAAGAGCAGGGTGATGACGGGCAGGGACAGGACCCAGAAGATCCTCTTCAGGTCGTTCTCTGGGACAGAGAACACGCTCCTCTGCTCTGCTGGGAGACGTGGAGACAGACGAGACCACAGCTGAAAACAGCCCAAAACACACCTGGAAACAGCTGAAAACACACCTCGAAACAGCTGAAAACACACCTGGAAACAGCTGAAAACACACCTGGAAACAGCTGAAAACACACCTGGAAACAGCTGAAAACACCTGGAAACAGCTGAAAACACAGCTTAAGACAGCTGAAAACACAGCTTAAGACAGCTGAAAAATAGCTGAAAACAGCCAAAAATACAGCTGAAAACAGTTGAAAACACAGCAGAAAACACAGCCGAACGACAGCTGAAAACAACTGAAAACAGCCAAAAACAGCTGAAAACAACAAAGAACAGCCGAAAACACAGCCTAAAACAGCTGAAAACAACTAAAAACAGCTGAAAACACAGCCGAAAACAGCTTAAAACACAGCTGAAAACAGCTGAACGTCAGCCAAAAACAGCTGAAAACAACTAAGAACAGCCGAAAACACAGCCTAAAACAGTTGAAAACAACTAAAAACAGCTGAAAACACAGCCAAACGTCAGCAGAAAACACAGCTGAAAATACAGCAGAAAACACAGCTGAAAACAGCCAAAAACACAGCCTAAAACAGCTTAAAATAACTAAAAACAGCTGAAAACACAGCCGAAAACAGCTTAAAACACAGCTGAAAACAGCTGAATGTCAGCCAAAAACAGCTGAAAACACAGCTGAAAACACAGCCGAAAACAGCTGAAAACACAGCCGAAAACAGCTGAAAACACAGCCGAAAACAGCTGAAAACACAGCCGAAAACGGCTGAAAACACAGCCGAAAACAGCTGAAAACACAGCCGAAAACAGCCGAAAACAACTAAAAACAGCAGAAAACAACTGAAAACAGCTGAAAACACAGCTGAAGCAGCTGACCCATGCTTTTATAGCTGTAACCTGAACGCATCACGGTGACCTTTGACCCTGCCGGTCCGGACTGACCTTCAGAGACCTCGTTGAGACCGTGCAGGCTGAGGGACAGGTGGGAGTAGCCCGAGTCGTCCTGGAAGATGCCGCTGTCGGTTCTGGACCGCCCGCGGACCCTCAGGCTGGTGTCGTGTTTCCAGCCAATCAGAAGCTGCGCCTCCAGCTTCTCACCTGCACCTGAGTCCAGACAGGTGCAGCACGGGCTCAGCTTCCTCAGAACAAACTCGCTGATCCGCAGGTCGAAGCACAGAACCACGATGTAGACCCCGTAGACCAGCAGCAGGGAGGCCGCCTCGTACCTGACACCAGAACCAGAACCAGAACCAATGGGGTCAGAACAAACAGAACCAGAACCAGAACAAACTGAATCAGAACCAATGGGGTCAGGACAAACAGAACCAGAACCAGAACAAACAGAACCAGAACCAGACTCAACAGAACCAGAACCAGACTCATCAGAACCAGAGCAGTGTGAACACAAACTGCTTTGTTTTAAGGACATCTTTTAAAAAAAGCCGCTCTTATTTTGAAAGGAACTGTTTAAATCACACTGATCCTGTTTTAATATTTTCTCATCGTTTATTTCCAGAACTTTTATCTTTTCATTTGAACTCCCAGAGAATCTGGATCCTGGTTCTGGTTCAGGTTCAAACCCTGAAGTCTTTTAACAAAATAAAAGCACAGATTTAATGTAAATCAAATATTTGGACTTTTAAAGGAGTCCAGGTTCTGGTTCTGGTTCTGTTGGCTCTGTTGTTTCTGTCCTCACAGACAGGTTTGTTGTGGTCCAGGTCTGAAGTGGGTCCATGTGGACCCGTCTGACCACAGTTTGTCTACACACTAACTGATTTTCTGTCAGTTAGACTGGAACAGCTGAGGTTTCCCTTCAGGCCAACAACACAACAACACAACAACACAAACACACAACAACCCAATAAAACAACAACATAACACAACAACACAAACACACAACAACACAATAAAACAACAACATAACACAACAACACAATAAAACAACAACATAACACAACAACACAATAAAACAACAACATAAAACAACACACAACACAACAGCACCACAAACAACAGCACAACACAACAATACAACTAAACAACAGCGCAACACAACAGCACAAACACACAACATAACAAAACAACACAAACACACAACAGCATATCAACACAACAAAACAACAACACAACAGCACGAACACAAAACATAACAACACAAACACACCACAGCACAACAACACTGTAGCACAACAAAACAACAATGGAACACAACAGCACAACACAACAGCACAACAACATAAAACAATCACACAACACAACAGCACAACAACATAAAACAATCACACAACAGCACAACACAACAACATAACACAACAGCACAACAACATAACACAACAGCATAACATAACACAATCACACAACAGCACAACACAATCACACAACAGTCCTCTGCAGGGTTTCAGCAGGAATCCTGGGCTTTTATTTTGAAAGCTGACAGGTAGTGTTTGTTGTGGGCGGAGCTCTGGTCGGACCAGAACTGGGCTGTTCCAGGTGAACAAAACGCTGAGTCACTGTTGGCCACTCACCAGAACACCTGGTTGTCAGAGATGATGGCGATGACGGYGGCCACGCTGACCCCGTACGCCAGGCAGTCCCTGAACAGAGGCCAGCAGGTGAGCCGGCCCACCTGAGGGGAACACAGGAACACAATGAACCGGTTCTGGTTCTAAACTGATCCTGGGTCAACAGAATCCACACAGTCCTTATTTACTCAACAGGAACTGGTTCCAGCTCCTGATCCAGAACCCCCTTCAGCAGCAGAACTCTCTGGACCAGGTTCTGGACCAGGTCTGACCCCGGACCTCTGAGGGACCAGAACCAGAACCAGTTTTTGTTGACTAGATGCGGGCTCGGTGGAGGGACGGGGTGAGGYGGTACCGTGGAGGCCAGGAGTCCACAGGCGGCGCAGATCCCCAGCAGGTTGTAAACAGCTGATCCCACGATGGTGCTGACCCCGATGTCCCCCTTCGTCACAAACACACCTGAGACAAAAAGGGGAGGAGTTACTGGAAGGAGGGGGCGTGTCTCTGTTGGCCAGGGGAGGGGTTTAAATATGACTTTTACCCAGAAAGACTGTGACCAGCTCAGGTGCAGAACTTCCTGCTGCCATGAAGGTGGCTCCTGCTACGTCCTGAGACAGACCCAGACCTGAGGGTCCACAAGGTGGTCCAACAAAACCACATGATCCACTCATCAGGGTTTGTACAGGAAACAGTCCTGACTCTTTAACAACAAAACATCTGAAAACTTCACAATCTAAAACCTTTTATTGTTTTACTACACAACTCAACACAATAAAACCCAAACAAAGACACACAACACACACTGAACACATTAAACAAGATGTTTGTGGAACTCACGCTCACTGATGACCTCCAGAGACGGCAGGAAGTAGTCGTCACAAACAACAGAAACACACAGGAACATGTAGAAGATGAGCAGGAAGTAAAGAACCAGGCCTCCGTCCTTCCTGTCCTGCAGCGTGAAGAAACCATCAGGAAACTCTGAGGCCTGAGGGGCGACACACTCTGAGCCGTTCTCTGTGACACACACACACACACACACACACACACACACACACACACAC